TTAAAAAAAAAGGAGGTTTTTTTTTTTTTTTTTTTTTTTTTTTTTTTTTTTTTTTTTTTTTGAACTTTCTCGGTAAATTATAGTTATGGCTTAGTATGGACTCGCATCAATTGTCAAAAAGGTGTGCCATTTCAAAAGGTCTTTTCGACAAATATCCATGGTCCTGTTGGATATGGGTATGGCATGATAAGCACAGTTGGAGTAACATAGAAGAAAAGGAAGTTATACAAATGGATAAACTGGCAAAGTTTCTATTTTCACAAGATTTCTTTTATTGACCTGAAAATATCTTCTAGGCGTGTATAATTTTGATATCATAACCAGGAATTATTTGCAGGTTGATTCTGTATCATGCTATTGTAAAGTCGATTCAGGCTTTAAAACTGTTGTTGGGGCAAGAAAATTTGTCCCAGGATCAAAAATCTGCATCCAACCTGATATAAGTCCTCACGCACACAAGAAAAAGAACTCCCGCAGAGAGAGGACCAGATTTCAGCCACCGCTTCTGCCTGGTCTTCCTGATGATCTTGCAATTGCTTGCCTCATTCGAGTGCCTCGTGTTGAACATAATAAGTTGCGTCTAGTTTGCAAGAGATGGAACAAGCTCCTGGCTGGAAACTTCTTTTACTCTCTCAGAAAAAGTCTTGGCATGGCTGAAGAATGGGTATATGTCATAAAGAGAGATCGTGATGGACGGATATCATGGCATGCTTTTGACCCAACCTACCAAATGTGGCAGCCACTTCCACCTGTGCCAGTGGAGTATAGTTCGGCACTTGGATTTGGCAGTGCTGTTGTAAGTGGTTGCCACCTGTACTTGTTTGGAGGAAAAGATCCATTAAAGGGATCTATGAGGCGCGTGATCTTTTACAGTGCTAGGACAAATAAATGGCGCAGAGCACCAGACATGCTTCGTAAACGGCATTTCTTTGGTTCTTGTGTCATTAATAACTGTCTCTACATTGCTGGGGGAGAATGTGAAGGTATCCAGAGGACACTTCGTTCAGCTGAAGTTTATGATCCCAACAGAAACCGCTGGAGTTTGGTCGCTGATATGAGCACGGCTATGGTTCCATTTATCGGGGTAGTTTATGATGGCAAGTGGTACCTAAAAGGACTTGGATCACACAGAGAGGTTTTGAGTGAAGCATATATCCCAGAAACCAATACTTGGACTACGGTCGATGATGGGATGGTTGCTGGGTGGCGCAACCCAAGTATCTCTATGAACGGGAAGCTGTATGCTCTGGACTGTCGTGATGGTTGTAAGCTTAGAGTATTTAATGAAGCCACAAATTCTTGGAACAGATTTATTGATAGCAAGCTCCACCTTGGCAATTCTCGTGCTTTAGAGGCTGCTGCCCTTGTTCCTTTGAACGATAAGCTCTGTATAATCCGTAATAATATGAGCATCAGTATGGTTGATGTCTCAAACCCTGACAGACGAGTGGAGACCAATCCTAATGTTTGGGAAAATATTGCCAGTAAAGGTCATTCGAGATCACTCTTCACAAATTTATGGTCAAGTATAGCTGGGCGAAGTGGATTAAAGAGTCACATCGTGCACTGTCAGGTTCTTCAAGCATAAGATAGGCCTCCCTGTCGTTCAGGCTTTTGTTAAGTTGCGTTTCACTCTCTCCATTTGAATACATTTGTTGTTTCAGATTATCAATTTTGGTTTCTGCACTTTTTAATTCTATACTTGCCTTTATTGGTTTACCTTTTTAAGTCTATATTTTATGTGGAGGTTGAATGAGTGACGATATGCAACATTTGGAAAATAGAACATTCAGGAGTCTTGAATATAGGGAAACAATGAACCTTCATCATCAGCTTGCAGATGAAGTTTGATCTGGAAATTGACGATTATTTCAACCTTTTTTATTAGGTAAACATGGACTTCTGAATGGAGCATGAAACACAGAACAGAACAGAAATATGAGGTCAGGTTATATTTTTATTCAAAAGAGGGAGCAAATATATTGTACATGTTTGTTGATTGGCTCCTTTGCAGTTTGTTTCTTATGGGTTATTGGTAGTTTGTAGTCTTGAAGATCTTTTGTGAATACAAGTGGCATTTGAACGTTGAGAATATTGAACTACTGTTATTTTTTCTAAATCAAATATGTCACTTCATTCACTTGCTCACATAATTGGCTTCTTAATATTTATTTTCAGGTCATTTTATTTTCTGTGTTAGTAGATATAGTGCAAAATTGGGTTGAAACAAATTGTCAAATGCATTGTTGTGGAATGTTGAATCATTGTCAACAACCCTGCTTCTTGGACAGACCCCCTCTCCAATAGGGGGCCACCATGTGGTCGCCCTGTTTTTGGGCCTGTTTCCAAGCCTGTCCAAATGGCTTTTCTTTTAGGCTATGTTTGATAGCCCAATTTTTTCCATGGAATATGGAAAACAAATTCCAACTTTCACTTTTGGCTTGTTTAATTGACAAAATTTTCTAGGGAATTGATTTTCCCATTTTGGCCGCCACGTCTGCATTTTCTTGGTTTTCATGGCTTTGTGCAATTGAACAAATTCTAGGAACAATTGTAAAAGAGAATATTCCTTAAATTGACAATTTTCATATAAAACAAAGTCAAACGAACGTCAAAAGATAGATGATTTTTGGATATTTTTTATTTTTATTTTTATTTTTTTGTAATGGAAACAAATTCTAGGAACAATTGTAAAAGAGAATATCATTTAAATTGACAATTTTCATGAAAAATAAAGCCAAACGAACGAGAAAAGACACTTTTATTTCAATATTTTTCAAGTGAAAATTATACTAATCAAACAAGATAATTGACAATTCTCAGTAAAACAATTTTTAGACAATTCAATTCCTTTGAAATTTGTTTTTTTTAATCCAAATTTCATCTTTACAATCAAATGGACCCTTATGGTCAATTAGGTTAGATTTTATTGACAGCCTTTTGAAAACTCCTCAGCAATTAGTTCAACTTCCACCTACCGATGTCTTGTATGCACATTCGAGGTTTCACAAGTCGGAAAATGATATAATCTTCTGGAAGTGTTTTATCTAATTAGAACAGTTTTCAACAAAAAGCAGAAGCAGAAAAAGACCTAATCCATCTAGAGCATGCTTAAGATAATCGCAACATGATTCTGATAATATGTCTCACATACCTCGATTACAAGAAAAGCTCGGTACAAGATTATTCAAACATGGATTATCTTAAGCATACTTTAGATTTGATTACAAGAAAAGCTCGAGAATAGGTTATCAGGTACAAGATTATTCAAACATGGATTATCTTAAGCATCGAGAATAGGTTATCGGTACAAGATTATTCAAACATGGATTATCTTAAGCATACTCTAGAATTGATTACAAGAAAAGCTCGAGAATAGGTTATCGGTACAAGATTATTCAAACATGGATTCTGATTTAGGTTCCCCTGGCTAGCATTTGATGGTATCTTTTGAGTGACTCTTCTCTTTCGAATCTGAGCTGCTTCCTGAAGTTATTGATAAATTCATCAGCCATTTTGTTTACATCCTCCTGCCTCACCATTCCTTTTCTTTCGTCGTTCTTCTCTCCGCGATCATTATTATTTTGATAGCTTTTTCCATTTGAACCAGCTGTTTGATGATGTTCCATATACTTAAGTAGTTTTGGTGGATGGAACTTTTGTGGGGTGCTTGTTTGGCTTCGATGATGTGTGATAAACTACGATACCGCGTATTTATAGTCGGGATTGAATTCAGATTCTGAGCTTCAAAGGATGACTTTACGCGTGAAGAAGGCAAAGAAAAGAAAAAGTATCAGGGCATTATGTTTAGTTCCCTCTAAGCAAAATATAAAAAATCATG